ACATTTTTTTTGGAGGGCAAACTAAGTTCAGAAATAGACACAACAGACTTTTCATCCAAGTCAGGACCTCAACAGTGCGTATGAGTTATATAGTTTGAAACCAATTTCTTTAATTCTTGGTATACCTTAAATTTCTCAATGCGCACCTTATAGGCGGATGAAATTATGACCTTAAAAATGTCTATACAAATGTGGTCCGCCCTAGTGCGCACGTATCAAATTTGTGGCAAAATTAGTATTATTCAATATCAAACTGACATGCTTTCATATTAAACTGATATTCTTACACATCAAACTGATATTCTTTCATATCAATTGGTAATTTTTCATAACAAATTGATATTTTTGTAATATCAATATTAATCAAATAATATGCAAAATCAAATATACAGCGCAAATTGTTTTACTTTTAAGACCTATTCACACAGAGGCGGTTTTCGCCTCAGCAACCAAGTTCCCCTGCTTAAGCCAAAACCATATAAGTATCTTACTCAAGACACGTCAAATTCGGTATCTTTTCAAAAAAAAAAAGATTAATATGTATAATACAAAAATTTAAAATATGGTATAAAATCGTAAATTCCACAATTCTAACAGATATTTTTGTGTAAGGGTCAATCCGAAAAAAATGACTTTTTAAAAACTTAAATTGGGGAAAATATAACTTTTTAAAAATGCAGGAAAGCGCAACCGAAAGATACAACCGGTACACATTTTTCAAAGTTTTTTTAGGTAAAAAACGCTTTTTGATTTGGTTTTTAATAAATTTTGGGACAGACATTTATGTCTAAATCTTTCATTTATTTTACATGGTAGTCATTAAATAATATGATAGTCACATTAGAATTACCTAAAAAATTTAAAATGTCATTAGTAGTAAAAACTGAAATGTTAGGGTCAAAGCAGAAAGAGCGCTATAGTCGACGAACTAGACTATCAGCTAATAAGAGCGCGAGGGGTATGAAGATATGCAAGAAAGATATGCCCACTCTAACGCACACCAACCTCCAAAAACTGTGGCTCTTAATGCTAGAATAACAATTTTATGTGAAATTTATTGCTCAAATCAAAATCTATCGATTGACCTAAAAAAACTTAGCCGCGCTCACTCTAACGCCCACAAGTCAACAACAAACAGCCCAAAATCCTTGCAGTGAACACATCTTATTTTGATTATTTACATAGCTTCGGAAAACTTTCACTAAAAGTATTTTGGCATATGTAATACAGATGATTGTAAAATTCTGTTTTTGTGTTATTGTGAAAAGTAGCACTAAACCCAGTAAGGAAAAATTGATAGGAACTGTTGGGAAACCAGCATAAAAATGAAACCTTTTAGACATGGCACCCCCAAGTTCGAATGGATGAAAACTCATGGCACTCTACATTGAATTTGTCAACTTTTTTGAGAAACGTAGCTCTCCCGAATTCCGTGTCACCCGAATTCAAGTTGAATTTTCCACTAAACACATCCTGACTATTTTCGGAGCTTAAAAGAACTTTGACTTCAAGCATTTTGGGTTTTGTAAAAATTACCATTGCGGTATATTTCGGTTTTTGTGTTGGTGTAGTAGCACCAAAATTTTTTAATATTTTTCAAAACAAGTAAAAAGGTAATAGTTACCGGGAGACTCGTTACGGTTTTAGGGTGCTGGACTCCGGATTATTGCATTAAACTGCTAAAGATGTCCTACCACTATTTAAAAAAGCCGCCAGCCTGGCGAGAAATAAAAAAGCTAGATTTCTTTTGGAGTTTGTATTTATTTACCCCTTGTGAATCCTAAGATTTTGATAAATCACTCAAAATCTCTTAACCTCTTAACGAGGTTAATACAAATTTTTAGTGTACAAAATTTCTGAAATGTAAAACTTTTTAACTTTCCAAATTCTGTTCGAACCTCTTCATCGCGTGTGGATGATGATACCGCCAATTTGCCCACCCTAATCCTTCGATCTTCTTCGATGTTCCTTCGTTCTGCCCCTGGTCCGATACGGGGAGTCCTTGTCCAGCATCTTTGCACTGATGGAAAAGCAGAACGTAGAACTGATAACCGACAGGGGAGTGTCGTTAATCGCACTGTGGATCCCTGCGACGATCCCAACGGAGATCTCGTGACAGACCTCTGTCCAAAAGAGCTGATAAAACTGTAAATCGCCGAGGACAGCAAGGATTCAATATACCAGCAGTGCTCCAAGATCGTGTACTTCTGCTGGCAACTGAAGGTAGGACACATCAGAGAATCTCGTAAGGAATCGGATTTTGGACACAGGTCACTCGCCCAAAGCACCACTCGAGGATCTACAACGGACAGGAGCCCCTTAGCAGCAACAGGAACAGCCATCTCAATCGCCCATGGAACCCATGGCAGGACCTGCGCATCAATGCATCGATAGCCCCGCAGAGCCAGGAGGATCCTGTAGGATACGAATAACATAATTTTATTTTGGTGTAGAGAAGTGTACCTAGAAAATTTTATGTTTTAACACGGCCAGTATATGAAAATGTAAACTATCCGGAATCTAAATCTGAAATCCGAGTTCTATATTTTTTAAGTTTGTGGTCGGTTTGTGAGCGTTAAAGTGGACGAGAGCAATGCATTTCAGTTAAAATTTTCATTCCAGCATAAAAAGTATAGGAGCCACCGTTTTTGGCGGTTTGTAGGCGCTAGAGAGGGTGTGGCACATTGCTGAAATAAACTTGAGCTGCGTAATAATTTCTAGAGTCTGTATGCCTAATTCAAACTTTTTATCTTTTGTAGTTTCCGTGATAACAGCGTTCATTCGGATGGACAGACATGCGGACAGACGGACATGGCTAGATCGACCGGCTAGTGATCCTGATCATGATTATGTATACTTTATAGGACCGGAAATATAAATAAATAAATATAAATTTACGATTTTTTGAAGTTTGTGGGCGTTAAAGTGGACGTGGAAAACTTTTTTGTGTCAATCGATAGGTATTGATGAGAACAATTTATTTCAGTTAAAATTTTTATTCTAGCATAAAAACTGTATGAGCTACAGTTTCGGGCGGTTTGTGGGCGTTACAGTTGGCGTGGCACGCTGCTGAAACAAACTTGCGCTGCGTATGAAGCTCAGGAATCTGCATGCCAAATCTCAAGGTTCATTTCATCAATTTGTACACCCTTGCAGAGGGTATTATGAATTCAGTCAGAAGTTTGCAACGCAGTGAAGGAGACTTTTCCGGCCCCATAAAGTATATATATTCTTGATCAGCATCACTAGCCGAGTCGATCAAGCCATATCCGTCTGTCCGTCCGTTTCTACGCGAACTAGTATTTTAGTTTTAAAGCTATCGGGCTGAACCTTTTATCAAAACTCTTCTTTCTTTTGCAGGTAGTATATAAGTCGGAACCAGCCGGATCGGTGTTTTGTAACATATAAACTCCTACGCTTGGAAATAACATTTTTTAATTAGTTCTGAATTTCGAATTTAAATTTATCAAAATCGGACGACTATATCATATAGCTGCCATATGAACGATCGGAAAATTGGTGGGAAAATAATATGAAACAAATTATAGCTTCGGTGTTTGTTGACATATTATCTTATACTATTGGGAATATCATTTTTATATTTTTAAATTTAATAATTATAACTGCAAGGGTTAAAATTAATTTTTATACCCGTTACTCGTAAAGTAAAAGAGTATACTATATTCGTCGGAAAGTATGTAACAGGCAGAAGGAAGCATTTCCGACCCCATAAAGTATATATATTCTTGATCAGGATCACTAGCCGAGTCGATCTAGCCAAGGTCGTCTGTCCTTCTGTCTGTCCGTCCGAATAAACGCTAAGATATCGGAAACTATAAGAGCTATGCTATTGAGATTTTGCATGCAGATTCCTGAGCTTCTTATGCAGCACATGTTTTTTTCAGCAGCGTGCCACGCCCACTTTAACGCCCACAAGCCGCATAAAACTGTGGCTCCTACAGTTTTGATGTTAGAGTAATATTTTAAATGAAATTTATTGTTCTTATCAATATCTACCGATTGACCCAAAAAAAAAGTTTGCCACGTCCACTTAAACGCCCCAAACCGCCCACAAACTTAAAAAAATCGTAAATATGAACGCGGATATTACGGAAAATATCAAAGATAGAGAATTGGGAATTCAGATTTAGATTTCGTAGCCTTGAGTGCATCGCAAGTTTGTTACGCGAATATGCCACGTTCACTCTAACGCCTCCAAACCGCCCAAATCTGTGGCGCCTACATTTTTTATGCTAGAAAAAACATTTTAACTGAAATGTATTAGTCTCCTCAATACCTATCGATTGACCCAGAAAAAGTTTGCCAAGCCCACTCTAACGCCCATAACGCTTAAGTCTGTCTACCGCCCACATAACCACATATTATGATCAGGGGTAGGTGGCGCATTTCAGTCTCGCTTTGCTGCATATCTCCATTTCCCTTTTGTCCTTTTAGCGGAGAAACGGGTATCTGATAGTCGAGGTACTCGACTATAGCGTTCTTCCTTGTTTATATTTCCGATCCTATAAAGTATACATATTCTTGATCAGGATCACTTGTTGAGTCGATCTAGCCATGTCCGTCCGTCCGAATGAACGCTGTTATCGCGGAAACTACAAGAGCTAAAAAGTTGGGATTAGGCATACAGACTCTAGAAATTATTACGCAGCTCAAGTGTATTTCAGCAATGTGCCACGCCCTCTCTAACGCCTACAAACCGCCAAAAAATGTGGCTTCTATACTTCTTATGCTGGAATAAAAATTTTAACGCTCACAAACCGACCACAAACTTAAAAAACATAGAATTCGGATTTCAGATTTAGATTCCGGATAGTTTACATTTTCATATACTGGCCGTGTTAAAACATAAAATTTTCTAGGTACACTTCTCTACACCAAAATAAAATTATGTTATTCGTATCCTACAGGATCCTCCTGGCTCTGCGGGGCTATCGATGCATTGATGCGCAGGTCTGCATTGGGTTCCTTGGGCGATTGAGATGGCTGTGGCTGTTCCTTTTGCTGCCAAGGGGATCCTGTCCGTTGTTGATCCTCAAGTGGTGCGTTGGGCGAGTGACCTGTGTCCAAAATCCGATTCCTTACGAGATTCTCTGATGCGTCCGACCTTCATGTGCCAGCAGAAGTACACGATCTTGGAGCACTGCTGAGATATTGAATCCTTGCTGTCCTCGGCGATATACAGTTTTATCATATGGATATGCCAAGACTGCAATCGAGGTCTGTCTAAGGTAATAACTAACCAGCTCTTGATCCCAGCTCCTTAACAAGCACGATAAAACAATATCAACAAGTCCCTTGGCAACATGTTGCCGCGCCTGTGGTGAATTGAGCCGCGGTCCTTCGGCAGCATGTTGCGGTCGCCTGGCGCCGGCTGGTGGCCACAAAAAGCGCCGACGACCGCCGTCAGTGCTTCGCGACGATTGCGAGGCGCGACACACACTGCGGAACGCGAACTCCGTGCTGCCGGGCCACATCCTTTCCCGACCTGACCCCGTTTTTTGTTGCGTGAAGTTGACGAAGTGCCGACAGTGCTAGTGCGATTGCGACTGCGACTGCGAGTGCGATTCAGGGGATCAGAGACGAGAACCCTTCGGCCTCACGATTGACGCCTTCTACCGCTTCCTCCGCCAGGCGCTGCCGCTGGCCAGGGAGGCAGCGATCCACCTGAATGGCAGCCTCGGGACTCCCGCCTCCGCCTCCGCCTCCGTCACCGGGGTGACCATAAGCGGGGCCCCCGGCGATCTCTTCAACTACAGCGGCCTGGAACTGGACCTCGGTCTGGATCTCGACTTAGGCCCCACCAGCCCCAGCACGTTGGCGCCCACGCAGACCATCAGGCCTCCGGCAAACCGAAGTGTGGTGCGCGTCAGTGCCGATGTGCCCATCTGGGTGGTGCCCTGCTACTCGGCCATCCTGCTGTGCGCCGTGGTTGGGAACCTGCTGGTGGTGCTCACCCTGGTCCAGAACCGTCGCATGCGCACCATTACCAACGTTTTCCTGCTCAACCTGGCCATCTCGGACATCCTGCTCGGCGTGTTCTGCATGCCGGTGACCCTGGTCGGAACCCTGCTGCGGCACTTCATCTTCGGCGAGCTGCTCTGCAAGCTCATCCAGTTTGCACAGGGTAAGTGTCGGCCAGTAGGCCAGTCCATTCATGTCTGGCCCGTGTCCAAATTAAAAGGTGCTCCAAGCTCACAACTGTGAATCCGACCCGACAACCATTAGTCCACAGCCCCGAGGCCGAGTCCCGGAATCGCTCGTCGAGTCAAAGACGAATGCCGCCCAACCACCACGACCTGGAGCGGATTCGCCAGCAGATCGTATTGGCCAACATCCAGGAGCTGATCCAGAAGATGACGCGTCGCTGCTTCAACGCATGTGTCGCCCTGCCGGGATTGGAGTTGCGCTCCTCGGAGCGCGACTGCCTCTCCACCTGCATGGATCGGTTCATGGACTCGGTTCAGGTGGTGTCGTGCCAATACTTCCGGCGCCGGCGCCGCCAGCAGCAGCTCCGTTTGGCCCGCTTGGCCGCCTCCTCCGCATCCTCATCCTCATCCGCATCTGGTGGTCCCACAGACGAGAGGGGAAAGTGAAAGTAATGACTACCTACAGAGAAAAAAGTAGACCGATAAAAGTTGCAGAAAGCCATGTGCTGGTCCTCCCAGCCTTCCCAAACGGAGCAATTTGAGTCCATTGGCTCTGCTCACCCCCGGCTCCACGGACCACCTGGGACTCACCCGGATAAGGTCACTTATCTTAATGCTCCCCAAAGCTTCCATCTGAACTGGAAATGAAAGTGCGGCAGGAGGAGGGGAGTAAGTGGATTTACTACTTGCGGGGCCTCGCACGATGTCTTCGTGTTGATCCCTAACAAATTCTAGTAGAGTCGTCCGTAAATGGTATTTGACAAAAAATAAAGATGTCCTTCTTCTACTTTCACTGTGCTCATTAGGAACCCCTTCCAAGAGCACCCACATAAACTAAATTTAATACACAAAGTGGGTGCGAGTGGGGGAAATACAATTTCCCGAGACCCAGACACACGTTCGTCCCATAAGTTTTAGATGACCATACTAAGTATTTTAGATTGTGCGCTTATGCACATCGCCTTTCCACTCATGAAAACTGTGTTTTCCATCGATTTTACGCACAATTTCCGCGTTTATTTATGGCTTAAATCATATTTCCTTGCCAAGAACACGCTGTATCTCATCTCCGCATCCGCTCGTCAATGGCCTTCCTTTATGGTGGCCCGCATCTGCGTAACGACAGTCGGGGTTTTGGGATCCTCAAGGGTTCAAAAGATTAAATGGGCCCCGCACAGTCACAAACAGACAGTATATGTGCGGGAGACTCTTTAAAGCCATTTTAACTCAATGACTGAACCCCGAACACAAGTTAAGTCCTTGAGAAGTCCAGTCAGATGAGAAAACATGCTCGCCAGACATTAATTTGTGTCTCCAGCACACTTAGATTATGTGGGTGCGGAATCTATCCGATGGCCCTGGTTCACCCATCTGTGATACGGCTTGCCTTGGGCGTGATTCCATATCCTTTCCCGAGGCTGAGCGTAGAAGTGGCCCTGACACCTGTCACAAATGCTCATCAGCATACCATTCTGGGCAGTTCATTTGGGAGCCACCGGGTCAAAGGACTCGAGAAGCCAGAGGCGGAGTGGCAGTACTTTGCGTATTTAATCAAAGTGCATGCCAAAGGGCATTCTAATTATTCGCTCATCATTTATGGGGGAGGTCCTGTTGCTGCTCCTTGAAGGAGCAGCCAAATGGAAGCGACATCCGGCTCCCCCTAGCCGCACCCGACTAATCCAGGCTGATCCCCATTTCCATTGCAAATTACTCGGTGCCGGGAGCTGCATGTACTCAACATTCTGGCCAATTTCCATATGCACACAGCCCCATAATCGATCCTTCTGCCGACGGAGCACTCAAGTCGCAGCCTAAGCAGCCTGGAATTGCTTTTAACCATCGCAATATTGCGAAAATCATTCCGCTATGCAACGTCACGTCGCCTTTTGCTTGTTCCGCTCCCCCTGCGAGTGCTTCCCCTCCTCAGCAGCCTGCTTATCCGCCCCTGCACTTTCATGACTTGTTTCCTGTTTCCTGCGCCGTTTTAGACGTGATGGTAATGTTGTTTGTCTTGCTGCAAGTTTGTTTTCGGGGCTGCCGGAACCGCCGCTGCTGGCTGGCATCCCCCCATCCTCTATCCCCCATCCCCCGTCCCGCCATCCCCAGCTTATCCATCTTGGCCGCCCCCGCTCTAACTTATTAACAACATAATAACAATGGCGGGCAAACAAGTTGAGCGCTTCACTCGCACAGGCACACACATGCCAATTTGTTGAGCAAGCACTCAGCGTTTTCTTGGGGCCCGGGAAGGTCCAGAAGGAACCCATTCCCAGGACCTCCCAGGACCCCTCGTTCCTTACCATCTGTTGCACGGGGCGTCGACTTGGTCGTAAATCTGAAAATGTCATCGCTGGCCGGGCTGTGGCACCAATTTATGGCCATCATCACGTCAAGGTGCAGCCACGTCCTGCAACGTCCTGTCTTCCTAGCTTCCACCGTGGTCGTGGCCACGCCCTTTGATTTATGATCCCAATTATGCATTCGTGGTCAGTGGCATTCCCTCGGACTGCTGTTTTCGCCCAACTGTCATTCGATTTCCTCATCTGCTTCAAAGAGAAACACTACTAATGGCCATTATTTTTGCAAATTAAAACGGAGGATAAACGTATATGTCTAGAACATGACAAATCGCCCAAGATCAGAATAAAAAGTACAAGGCTAGACACTTTTGGTACTACAAATATTTTAAGCCAGACCTTAAATAATTACGATGTAAAAAAAGAGTTTTCTATTTACATTCCTTTTACATTAGATTTTCTTATCTGTTTAATAGAGTAACACTAGAAATGGCACTTGTAACATAATATATATTGGACCAGATTTTAAAAATTTACTATGATTTTGGTAACTCTATGCTATGAAAAAAAGGTTTTCAATTTTCATTCTTTTTTCATAAGATTTCCTCAACTGTTTGTAAAAGCAACACAAGTAATGGGAATTGCTGATGCATCATAAAATCGAAGCATACATTTCTACATCTATTATATATTATTTATCTAAACATCTATGTACCTTTAAATATTTGGTACTAAACATGCTTTAAGCCAGATCCCAAAGAATTACTATGTAGCTTGGGTAAGGCTTACCTACTAAAAAATGAAAGTGTTATCTATTTCCATTCCATTTCCATTAGATTATCTTAACTGTTTAAAAGAGTAACACAAGTAATGGGGACAACTGATGCATAATAAAATGGAAGGATACATTTCTATATCTAATATCTATTCTTTACCTATATTTGGGTCTTAACATTCTTTAAGCCAGATTCCAAATAATTACTCTGTAGCTTAGGTACCGCTAACCTATTAAGAGAAGAAAGGTTTTCCATTTCCATTTCATTTCCATTAGATTTCCTCATCTATTAGAAGGAGTAACAATATTAATGGCATTTTGTTTTGCATGTTGAGATCCTAAGATACACTACGATATCTAAAAAAAATTCTAGGACAGGGCCGAAATAATTACCGTGTGTTAGGTAACGCTTTCCTATTAGATTACCTCATCTGTTTGAAAGAGGAACACAAGTAATGGGGATTACTGATGCATCATAAATTGGAAGGATCTAATATATATTCTTCATCTATAAATATTTGGGTCTAAACATTCTTTAAGCCAGATTCCAAATAATTACTCTGTACCTGTACCTCTGTTTGGGTACCGCTAACCTATTAAGAGAAGAAAGGGTTTTCCATTTCGTTTTCATTATATTTCCTCATCTGTTTGAAAGAGTTACAATATTAATGGCATTTTCTTTTGCATGTTGAGATCTTAAGATACACTACGATATCTTAAAAAAATTCTAGGGCAGGGCCCAAATAATTACCGTGTGGTAGGTAACGCTTTCCCATTGAAAAAAGGAAAGGGTTCCCTATTCAGGACATTCAAAAGGTACGATTGTGTCCGGAAAGGTGAAATTGGCAGCCTAGAATCTACGGCTTCAAGCCTTTCCACTTCGCCGTGTTTCCTTTGAGGGTCCACCTGGCTGCACTTGTTGCCCCCAGCCTTGGTGGCCTTGAACCCTGACCTGTGGACGGACCTCCCATTGGGCTTGTCCAGCTCGTCGCTGACAGCTCAGCAAATTAATGATTAATTGAGTTTTCCTCAGCACTGGCAAGCTTTGTTTTTGTGCTCTTGCCATTTGTACCGCTCAGCGATGCTGTTTGCTCCTTTGTTTTTACACTTGTTCGAGTTCTTGGCAACACAAATCAGCGCTAGGTCGACGTAATCATTAATTAGCAGCGAGCTGGGAGGAAATGAGAAGGAGCCACATACTTACGAGTGTCTCAAAATCTGGCCGCAATGCAATTCCAGCGACTTTTTCAAGCAGCCAAGGCACCAGTAATGAGCAAATTTATGCCCACACACTCTTGGAGCCTGGAAAGCATTAAGCAGGCCAAATGGCATAAGTAGAAAGACGAATTGAAATAAAAACTAACCATGCTGTGGAAGGGAAGGGGCTGTTTTTCTTCACAGTCCCAGCCCCACCTTTAACCCCGAGCCCATGACCTCTCGCCCACGCTTTTTGGCTCCAAAGTTTGCACAGAAGGCGCAAGGAAACCGTCTTATTTGACTGGGGCGCAATTACTCGAACTTATGTGTGTGCTCTCCATGCTGTTTTCCCCTTTTAATGAGAGTTAACTGGGCGAAAACTCGAACTCCGGGGCAACCGATGAATATGAATGTGCCACTCAACTTAATCCTACTCAATCATAATGAGTCCCTGGCATTCATGAGGCTGCAATTGTCCTCTGTTTGTCCACGTCCACATTCACAGTTTGAACTTTATGATGGCCATCCTTTACAGTCCGGTCCAGACCCTATCTGAATGTGGAAATCGACACTTTATTGCCCACAGAAATTGTTTCGAAACGAAATAATGGCCAGTTATGACACCCACAGTTACAAAATTGACATGGCTATTGATTTTCAATTATATAAGTATTTGCAACTAAGGAAAAAAGCCTCTGCCGGCAATAATGGCCACGTCAACTTCATCTCTGTATCTGCAGTGTGTCCGTGGCAAAAAGCATTAAAACATTGTTTTCATCAGAAATCTGTGTTTTCCATTTTCCGATTTGCATACACCCCCATGAAAAGGCAATGGTAATGTGTAAAATGGAAATGTGTTCCTAATAAACTTTATGCCGCAATGATTCCCGTGGCCCCCATGCAATTGATCCTTGTTCTCCACCCCCCCTCACTTTTTTCCCGCTCCAAGTGCACTGCTCGAAACAAGTGTTGGCTTAATGCGTTAATTTTAAAACCCTGTCCAATTGATTGCACGGATACAGCTTATGTATTTATCAAGATCATAATCAAAGCTGTCGTCCATTAAATGGATTGCAAAAAAAAACCATTAAAGACTGGGCAAATTAAAACGATATTTAATGCCAGTTCTTGCGTGTGAGTATTATTTGCGTGGGCGAATGAAATATACTTTTGAGCCGAATTAATGAGTCCGGGAGGCGAAAGTGGGTGGGTTCTGCGGACCGGCGTCTTGAGGGCACACGGCACAAAGGGAATACAAATGAAAGGTGATTTTTCAGCTCCTTTTCTCCTTTGAGGATTTCCAGTGGCACCCTTTTCGCTTGTGGGGGCAGCCACAAAGTGCGGTTGACAGGGCCTAATGTGAAATTAACATGGCTTATATGCAACTCATGGCCAACTGCATTGATGTCAGCCACACACGCCTCAGCTGTCCGCCTTTGTTGCGGGTCAACTTGTCGTCCAGCTCGTTGCGGCACCTCTGAGCCACCT